TCTCATCAGATTGAACCGTCTGACGTACGACCGGAGGCCCTCCCGGTTGCCCTGCTGTATTGCCCCTAGGTCGAGGCTAGTCTTTTTGGCAGGAATATTCATTGAGAAATTTGACGTAAACAAGTACGCCAAAGTTCGAAAGCTGTTGATGCAACCGGCTGGTAGGTTACCAAACCATCGCTGGGCTATGCCCTTGAGGGTAGCCGGGAAGCATCGACACCAGACGGCATCATCTAACCCCTGGAGGTACATGAGGTTAGAGTAGGCCATTAGATGGTCTTCTGGGTTGGTGGTGCCATCATAGGCCCCCACCAAAACATTCTTGATCTTAGGCGGCTGTGCTGCCTGGGTTATCTCTGGTGAGAACGCCGTTGGCTGTTCCCCCAAATTTAGCAGGCGCAGCAACCAGTCCGTGGGTTGGAACGGCTGCTGCGCTTGCCCACCGAAAAGACCCGGTGACATGAAAGGGGATCCACCCAACCCATTCGGTGTGCCGTATAGGCCAGGCTGGATCACTTTGGGTCCAGACCGGGCAGAAGCTTCGCCCGTCTGGCTCCTAAGGTTCGTTCCCGTACGCCTGTGTGAGACGTCATGGAAACTGTCCGGGAAGGTTGACGTTGAGGCCGACGCAGACGCCTGACCTCGCTTCTCTTGGAGAAATGTACGGGCGTCTGAGAATGTTTTCTTGGAGCCATCCGGTTGTACGTGCCGGATGGCCTTTCGCAGCTCCCCTTGAGGAAAACGGAGTCTGCTTGGATCAAACCTTAAGCCCTCCCCCTCCTTTGGCTTGGGATGAGGGGTAGGAACTCGTTCTTTGACCGCCTTCTTTCCAGAAGGCTTCTTGGCCGGCTGACCCTTCTTTGGAGTAGCTGACCGGATGAGGCTCTTGATCTCACCCTTGAAACTATTCATGAAAGACATGAGTTCGTTTCTTGTAACGGGGGCTGAGCCCTCCACTGTTTAGGCAATTCCAGCCGGTTGCCCGGCTGGGTTGTTGGGAGCAGCTTGGCTGATTTCCCGTTCTCTTCTATCTTTAGCACGAGGGTGCTTCGTTCTGAAAGACCCATCCGGGGCCACATATGTTTCAATTTCGTCGCCACTTTCATGGTCCGTCTGGACCTCAGGCTCGACCACAGGCCGTTTGCCCTGATTCGGTGACACAGTATCAGAAGTCATCTTAGAAGTACTCTCCCCACAGATGGCGCCAAATGTTTCGGGGTTTTTTGATGTGTCCTGCGGGAGAGTTACAATTCCAAGAATGTCCTTCGACGCCTGTGCCTGCAAAATCACGAAGACTCCTGGGGGTAGGAGCTCCGCCTCCGACGATCAAGTTAGTAAAGATACGGGAGGTAGAATGCACGTAATGTGGAAGTTACTTCTCGCGTAATGGGAGAATTCTGCAATTAATATTGCTCGGGGTAAGTGTTTTTCTTTTTGAGGAGTATTCAATGTGAACAACAAATGTTCCAGCCCCCATTAATGAGGGTCCTTCCACTATTTATAGTGGGGAAGGGATGGTTCCCCTTTTAGGGTTTAGAGGACACGTGTCAGCAGAGGATTGGAGCCCTGCTGACCAACGGCTTGATGCCACGTGTCACTAGGCCATTGGGCCACGTGTTTAGGGTATTTTTACCCCAAACACTTAGCACCTGAATCCTAGTGGGGAGATTATCCTTCTCCTCCAAATCTTCCAACTTTTCCCATAAGTCGTCCTCCTTGCTGATTCCATACCTGCACTTCTTAGACTCTCCTTGGTTCATATTCTCCCCTGCTCCCTCTGTAGACCTTTCATGTTTCTTTCCGCTGCTAGCCGAGTCTTTGAAATTCCAAGACAGTCCTAAGGATCTTTCTTTTGGGAGGTCCTTTGCGACGCCCGAACTCCATTTTTTCTTTCTCGGACCCTCTTCCAAAAATCTTCTCCCTCTCCTCCTCTTGTACAAGAGCTTACGTTGTTCATGAGAATAGTAGTCCAATTCAAAGTCCGAGGACTCTTGGCTAGGGGACGGATCAAGATTGTTCATTTTCATGATCGGCTCTAGAGAGCCTGAAGAGATAAAAGATGGGGCAGTATTGAACGATTCCATAGATATTGGAGAGTTTGGAGGGCTTACTTGCACTTCCCTCGTGGGGATGGAGAACTTCGAGGAGCTAGAAGAGGAAAACAACATGGGGCCTTTGAGATTCGGCCATTTATGAGCAGGGTTCGTCGGAGTGGAGTCTGTCGAGAAAAGCTTACAACTTGCTTGAGAATTGGCAATTAGGGTGTACAGGGAGGTGTAAGCATGGGATGCTTGAGAAGCACGGTAGGTTTCTAACTCCTCCTTGTTTGCCATGAGGAGAGGGAAAGCAAATTCAAGTTCCCTAATAAGGGGGTCAACAAGAATATTTTTTAGTCTAAAGGGGACAAGGAGAGGGTTGAGAGTGTATACTTTATCACTAGGGAGCAAAGAAACTTTATAGTCAATTTGAGCTTCCATTTTTGTGGTAGACATAGTGAAGGGGGGGGGGGTTGGCAGTTGGCTGTTGTGATGAAAAAGGTAATAAACAATGGGAGTGAGATTTGGTGGGGCTTGTAAGCGAGTAAAGCGGGGGATAAACTTCATGTTGCAGAGAATAAAGAGGGAGTTTAAACAAGTTCAACTTTAAGCTGCCATTAATGCAGGTAGGTGGGGAAGTACGAAAGGGAAACAAATGAGGGGTGGAATATGAGGAGTTAAGGAAATTACTACCCACATTTAATAAATCATCTAAAGAGTTTAACAGAGTGACATCTTGGAGTCTTTTTGAGGCTCGAGGGAGCTGAGTTGGATGGAGGCCAGCCTATTCTTGAAGCGTAGGCTTATTCAAGCTTATGTTTAGGTCAATATTAGGGGGAGAGGGATGATTGACTAATAAATGGGGGGTTAGAATAGTAGAAGAGGGTTGTGTACCTGGTAAAGTCTGAGAGGGAAGCAACTGGGGTTGCGGAAAATGTTGTTCCTCCTGATCCTTAACGCCGTAATCCATCTGTTGGTCACCTTGCATAGACTTCGGGGAGGGTTGAGAGGGAAACGTCTTTCGTTTCTTGCGTTCAATGGAGCTGGAGTGGGTGGTCGATCCGGATCGCCTGCACCAACCCGTAGCATACTTCCTCTTTCGCTGCAATCAAACATTTAGTTACATAATTTCTTTCCAAAGAGACATCTTGGTACCTTTGATTTGGAGAGAAGGGATGATGATATGGTTCAGCTCATCCAGCCCTCTTCTTTCCCTGATTAACGACCTTATGGAGTATAAAGATGGATTTGCCCTGTTTTTAAAACAGGGAGGGCTTGCGTTTTCCTCTGTTTTCGTCTCTTGGGAGTACCTTTGTCAAACTAAACACCACTGATGTCATCTGAAGGGACACTAGCTACTCTTTTCCGTTCTCTATTACCTGGCCCTGGGTTACCAGAGGAAGGAGGACTACCAGATGAGGACGAGGAAGGGTCTTGCTGGTCTCTGCCCGGGGAGTGGTGGCGACTTCCTGAGATGCCTCCTCTATGGGTAGAGTGGTGGGGGGTATGTTCAGAAGAGGCCGAGGTTCGGAATGGGTGCGGGTACACCCTAAGATTGGTTCTCACTGTACTGAATCTATCTAGATCCTGCAATCCCATGACTTTCTTTTAGTAGAGCGGGGTAAACGGCTTGGAAAGCAGCAAATCATACTGCATTCCACATAAACCTTTAATTCTGTCATTCACTTCCCTGTGAGCCATATGAGTTGACAATTTGTAGTGGGGTTGTCTATGACCAATTTTCCCACATCCATGGCAGACACAGGAACACTCCTTCGTATCTTAAGAAGACCCACACAACTTTCTTTAGAGTTATCTCATAGTAGAACCCTAGAATGAGAGGCTTTTGGACATTCACCACCAGTTTAGCTCGCATTAAGCAATGGGGCCTGTCATCTAACAAAGGTTGATCAAATCTGATAATACGGCCCACTCTCTCGAGGATTCTTCTAGCTACCTGAGGCTGACATTCTTCGGTGGGTAGGCCTTCAAATTTGATCCAGATAGTTGATTCCGAGAAATCTATACCAAGAATGTTGGAGCCCATCTGCCAAGCCTTGAAAACGACCAATGCACCTTTGTCAGGAGCAAATCTTAAGGACATTAGATTGTCCCTGTCCTCGTATGAAGTGCAAAAGAAGAAGAAAATATCTTTGGAATGACTGGCTTTTTGGACAATGATGGCAGTATTTGTCTTCCAGAACAAGTCTACCCAATTTTGGATTTGAGTTTCAAAAAAGATTCTATCATCCAAAACTTTTCCTACAACCGCAAGACTAAATTTGTCCACATCTTCTGGGTAGTCATAGGGTTGTTTTGGGATACCAATTCCCATTCTATTGAGAACTGAAGATCAACATTGGTGATCCATGGTTGATGCTTAGAAGGACTATGAGCTTGGAGTTGATCTCTGTGTTTTTTTTTTTGTTTTTTTAGAAGGGCTTCTGTAGTTCGTTATGGCTAGAGAGGAAAACACTTTCAATTTCTACCGAGAGAAGTTAGGACTATCTATTAACAAAGATTGTTAATATGATTTATTAACCGAGGCTAGCTCTAGAATTTGCGACCTAAGCTACCTCGTACTACAAGAGTTATCAATCAATATAATCTAATATATATATATATAAAGGGGAGTTTTTTCCCGAGTTTTTAGAGAGCCACATAGGATTTAATTTTCTTAGCGCGCCATGTAGGGTTATAAATTCCAATTGTAGCCAATCAAATAAGAGATTATTATTTTCTTTTAGAATTAAATAATTCAAATGTCATGTAAGCAAAATTGACGAATGAGATTTCCTGATTTAAATTAATTAAATATAAAATATTATCTTTTAATATCAGAAATTTTATCAAAATATATAACAAATTTTAGCACATAAATATATATATAAAAAATTATTTTAAAAAATTCAAACAAACCGTGCATTAAACTCAAGCATAGAAGCTTTGACCCTTGCATCATTTTGCTGACTCTTCTTCATCTGTAGTTTCTACCTCGCTTCTAGACTGCCTGAGTCTGGAAAGAGGTGGCTGCCTACCCATTCAACCTAATGACTTTTCAATTCTTTTCAAAGTCAAAATTTCTCAAAGATTATTTGTAATATACTACGTCATTTAGATTTCCCGGACTCAAGAATTTCTCCCTTCTTAACCTAAACCCTCAATCCATCTTTTCCCATTTCTTTGATTTTCTTCTAATTTTTCTGGGGTTCTTTTGATTTTGACCAAAATTATTGATATTTCTGGTTGAAGGGTTTGAATTTATTTTTTGTGGGTATTTAATAATTGAAGTCGTTCGCTATGAGTTCAAACCCTACATCGAGTTCTGGTGCTGGATCAACAGATCCTTCAGCAGCTAGAAGAAATTCCAAGCGACCCAAGTGTAATTTCATGTTCCTTATGCTTCAATTAATTTATATTTCTTGGGTTTCTTTGTCGATGTCGATTTCGAGTCCTGGGTACATTGTTTATTTCTAAATGTCACTGTGTTGATTTAATTTGATTTATATTTTAGTTTTTTGTAAATTAGCTGATGATTGGATCTGTTCTGGGTTGTTTTAATTGTTGATACATGTTAAGATTCTTGTTTGTTGGGGTGGTTTTGTTAAAATTATTGTTGATTAGTTATTCTTGTTCATAGCATATTTGCAATTATCGTGATTTGTTTGCAAATAGTTAATTTGGTGCATGATTATTGGTATCTTGGACTTGTGTAGTCTGTGGTGTTGGTGCCATCTAGTTTATGTTATATTTTCGGTGTCTTTTGTGTTTTATTATAATTGTAAGTTTATATAAATTTGAAGATTTAGGCTGTTTTTAGTGCGGACAAGGATCTTATTCTCCTTGTTTATCTTCTTTGCTTAATTGGTACTCCCTCCGTTCCAAAACTTCGACCCTTTTCGCCTATTTTTAGTCCCAAAATGATCGACCCATTTGCATTAAAATACCCACCAATTTACAACAATATTTGTGCAAAATTAGTTTCCCCATATAAAATTTTATTTTTTCATGTATTTTGAATACTTTATCTCTTTACTTTTGTACAAATCCTAATTTATCTTTCCAATATGTTTTTATTTCTTTTTATTTAAGTTTGTTAATAACTGTGAAATCAACCCAAAAGGGTTCAAGTTTTGGGGACGGAGGGAGTAGTAACTAGTAAAAAAGTTCGGAATTTGCTTTTTTTTTTTTTATTTTTTTTTTTGTGAAGTATAATTTTCCATACGAGAGTAGCAATTTGTGCATACCCACAATAGCAAATGAATGTAGTGCTAACTCTACTGTGCATACGTTTTGGCTAGCCACAATACCTGATCTGTGCCAGTGTGCCCAAATACCCACTGTTCTGGCGCTGATCAATCCTCCAAATTATATAGCTTTAAAATCAGATAAGGTGGATGGAAATTTAGGTTTCGTTCTAGGTAAAAAAAAATGGGTCTCTTAATTAGTTCAAATTCCATGGTTATCCTTATAGCCAAATATATATTTTGATTTCAACTGTACACTATGTGGAGAATCATCCCTTAGCGTGGCTGATGAGCCTAGTTTTATAGGATTGTAGTGTTGGAGTACTGTGCTATACCCACCTATGGCTGACCCTCTATCCTTCACTTCCTATTGTATGTCCTACTTTATTAGCTATAAATTTCTAAAATCGCCCACCCTTTGTTTTAGTTGGTATTATGGGTTTAAACTGAATACAATTCTCTTTTTATTGTCTACACATGGCCAGTGTAGACTAAGTACATGCAAAGGCTGTAGGTAAGCTAGATTTCTTTTTCGTCACAAATTCTATGGGGTCAATGATTTTGCAAACTAATGTTGGTACATGTACAGCTGCATAATTAGAACACCAATAAACCATTTGTTTCTATTTTTTTATCAGCATAAACCCACACCTTAGCTTGTGGATTGCAATTTTTCATCCTTGTCTTAAATATCTGTTGGTGGCTGCAAGCTATAAAAAAAATCTGCTTCTCTGTTCATAATCCTATCTTAGTCAGCTGGATCTTGACATGCATGATTCTAAAATGTATTTTCAAACACATCTTTTAAATTCTCACCCCCACCTGGTGTTCATATATGACATATATACTAGGTTAGATCCCGTGCCATGCACGGTAACCTATAATTATATGTAGTTATATATTATTGATTGATAAGAATTATAATCATATATTAGTCGAGAAATAATAAAAGTATCTGATAGGTTGATTTGTATTTGCATGAGTTTCTAATACACAACTAAAACAAAAGTAGGCAAAAAATCCAAGCAATCTTTTTTCTTGTTGAAAAATACGTTATAAATTATTTTAAGAATATATTTTTGGGTTTGTAGTTGCCAAAACTTTTTTAAGAAATCTATTTTTATTCATAATAATAGATACTACATTAATATGGAATATGTATACAGAAATTACTACATTAATATGGAATATGTATACAAAAATAAATTATTTTTATAAATGATTTGTTTCCTTAATAAGTAGTTTTTTTAAATAAAAAAAAAACTAAGGACACACCAAGAGATGACACGTGTCATTGATGGTGTGTCTTTTAGTATATAGTATTGATACCTTCTCTCTTGCTACATACACTGTGTACTCTGTTACATTCAGCTCAGATAAAATAAAGAGTTGGGGTAAAGCCAATGAATTAAGATTGTTTATGGCTAATTTATGAGTAGAATTTTATATGGTTAATTTTTTTATTTATCGCCTGATAACTACTCGAGATTATTGTCATACATGGAATGAACACATGATGAGCTAAATTAAAGCTAGAGCCTATCAAATATATAGTTGACTTGATCTTTGAATACCCGAGGCCAGGATTACCCTAATTTTGACATTCCCTAAATTCATGCATTTTGATATACTCAAATTCATTGAAGCAGATGTTGAATAAAAATGCAGATTTAAGAATTGACTAGAAATGAGATTTGAGATAGCAGAGTTGAGAGCAATGTAAGATACATTCAGATAATTTCACAGATTTAATAGTTATGCTAAAATGGATGTTGAAGTTCAAGAGGACAAGTCCAACTAGCAAAAAAAGCTTATATTGGCTCCTTACTTTTGTGAAGTGTGTAACAAAGGCTTTTTTTTTTTTTTTTTTTTTTGGTGATAGACTATGTGCAAGCATTTGCATAGAGAAAGAGATAAAATAAAAGTGAGTGGGTTATGAAGGTGTAAATTTGTGGCGTAAATGGAGTTAGATGGTAAGATGTGTTTGCTTTAAATCGAATAAAGTAGAAGGGTACATTTAAAACACCTCAAAATGATAAGTGGGTACACCGAACAAAATTATAGGGAGTATGTCTAATTTGAGATGTGTGTCATAAGCTCCTGTACATATTCGTGACCATGTTTGTCGTACCTTTCCATGTGCATGATAGATGGTTATGCTTGTTTTGATCACATGATGCAGCATTAGACATGTCGTGTGAAAATCTGTTAGTCTGAAATAAGAATGAGAGAGCAGGCATACTTCTATGAGAGCTATTTATACGGGACATTTATGTTGTTGGTCTTCTTTTATTGATTTTTTTAGCTATTCGTAACAAGGCCTTTTCAGTATTTGGAAATAACTGTTCCAAGGATAATATCTCATGTTTAATTTTGTTTTTTTTTTAAAGATTCAAGGTTCACCCAACAGGAGCTTCCAGCTTGCAAACCAATCTTAACTCCTCGTTGGGTATGAAAGAACTAATGCTGCTCCCTTGTACTTTGTATCATCAGTTATTGTTTTCAATTATTTTAAGTTATCTCATGCTTTTTAAAATTCTGTGCAGGTGATTTCTGCTTTCATGGTTGTCAGCATTGTGTTTATTCCAATTGGAGTTGCTTCACTATTTGCTTCTCGTGATGTATGTTTTAACTTCAACTCTATCCTCCCCTCCCCTCTCTATGTGCATACTCCTCATACTATGCGCAATCACATATATAATGTAAAACAACTCTATAGAATTCAGTTTGAAAATGGTTGCAAATGTCCAATCCTCTATGAAAGCTTTTAATCATAAAGAACAACGAAAATATATATTCCCTCAACGTGGTCAGCTATGTGTTCACATTCCTATCCCCACCTAACCCTGCCAATATCCCTCACCGAAAATTTAGCCTAAAACCAATTCAATGAATACTAGCAATGATTCTGTCGTTAGCCAATTTGGTCTTCCTAACCTCCTCACCTTTTCCCTTCAAATAACCCACCTTGATCCTCTACCAATATTAGGGCTTCCATATGCTTAATGTCTAACCATTGACTCCTCCTATATAATCCTCTATTCCTCATTTCCTCTCCTTATCCTTTGGCCTCTAATGGGTATAACATCATTCCTATAAAACTAAGAATTTCTGGCTTTATGTGCACATGATTATGACATTTCTATGTATATGCATATAGGTCATATGCCTACAATTTATTTCTGTAAGTAATATCATTTTTCTGCCTAATTATTACGTGTTCATTATTTATTGATATTCTTTTGGCTAAAGGTTGTTGAAATTGTAGACCGTTATGATGATGACTGTATACCTGGGTCTAAAAGTGCAAAGATCAGCTTCATCAAAGGACCAAGTGATAAAACCTGCATTAGGACGCTAAATGTAAGTGTTTCTTACACCTGTCTTATGTGCTTTGATTAATGCATATAGCTATTTCAGTCTTTCAGCACAAATACCTTGTCAATATATGCCAGCTGCTTTTGCTGCTATTGGTTTTTTTTTTTTTTTGTTTTTTTTTTTTTCCATCTAATTTGGTGTTATCTGTCTCCCAATTATTTTTATCCATGTAGGTTTCCAAGCATATGAAAGCACCTATTTATATTTACTACCAGCTTGATAACTTTTATCAGAACCATCGCAGGTACACTCCTTTTTTCTTTTTTACAAAATCAACATTGGTGTCTGGAGTTCATTCTACACTTAGTGCTATATCGTTTCAATTAAATGACCTGGTGATTTCTCTGAGTGTATGAATCAATCTGGATGTGTAGGGACTCCATAGCAAATTTTTGTTGGGTTTAAGCTCCATAATGCATTCATTTATTTTATTTTCCCTCAAAAGCAGCTATCATTTGTTGTAATGAAAATGCTTCTAAATTCTCTTAATGATTGTCACATAATATAGTACTTGTGCTTTTTTTATATAGATAGGGGATGGTGGGATGGGTTACTTCCAGTATAGGAGGGGGGAGAATTTCTGAGATATGCTGTTTTTCGAGATTATGCTATGGTTTCCATGAACAGATTAGGCTAGTAGGAATTATAATTACATAGAACAGGATATAAGTGCTCTTGGCAAAATGGGCACTGGATTCTACTGTTATGTTCTGATGTTTCGAGTTTGTTGTCTTGAACTTTCTTTTTGTATACAAGAAACCGTGCACTCCCAAGTACGTTCTTCATACTCAGTAACTCAAAGATAAATGTTATAACAAAATTATTATTTAACAATGTGGTGTAATGCAGGTATGTGAAAAGTCGAAGTGATCAGCAATTGAGGCATAACAGCAGTGCTAATGAAGTAAGCGCTTGCAAACCAGAGGATACTGCAAACGGGAAGCCAATTGTGCCTTGTGGTTTAATAGCTTGGAGTTTGTTCAATGATACTTATAGTTTTTCTATAAGTAACAGCAACCTAACTGTCAACAAGAATGGAATTGCATGGAAAAGTGATAGAGATCACAAATTTGGGAAAGATGTCTTCCCAAGTAATTTTCAGAAGGGAGGACTTATTGGGGGTGCTAGTTTAAATGAATCTGTTCCAGTAAGTAGCTTCTTCTGAACAAATGTCTTACCTTTTCATCATAGAGAACAAGTTTTTATAATTCTATTTTTTGCTGTACAGTGCTCACTTTTCACTGGCAAGAATTATGACTCATATTTTTCAAGTTTTTATAATTCTATTGTTTGCTGTACAGTGCTCACTTTTCACTGGCAAGAATTATGACTCATATTTTTCTATTACAGCTTAGTGATCAAGAGGATCTCATAGTATGGATGCGAACTGCGGCTCTTCCTACTTTCCGGAAATTATATGGCAAAATACATCAGGACCTGCAAGCTGGAGACGTCATTAATGTCACTCTCAAGAACAACTACAATACCTATAGCTTCAATGGGAAGAAGATGCTGGTACTTTCCACAACTAGTTGGCTCGGTGGGAAAAATGACTTCCTTGGCATTGCCTATCTTACTGTCGGTGGCTTGTGTTTCTTTTTAGCAATGTTATTCACTCTCATTTATCTTGTGAAGCCAAGGTAAACTTCTGCAATTGCTGATTTGCATATTTCATTTTGCTTTGCATTAATTTACTTGGTAATAAGGTTTGAGGTTCCAACCATTAAGGCATCAATCTTATCAATATTTGTTTTTCCTTTCAAATTCTCTTATACTTCTTTTGTCATGCGTCTGTTGTCTCAACAGTTTTTAGATATCATTGTTCTCATCCTGATATTATCTTTACAGGCGACTTGGGGATCCTTCTTACTTGTCATGGAACAGAAATCCAGGAGGAAGATAATCAGTTGTTGTGCTTGTGTTTGTATCTGGAAGAGATTTTGTAAATTGAAAAAAAAAACTTGATTAGTAGTGTAATTGAATGTTAATGGAAAATGTACACTTCAGAAAAAAAAAATGTTTGGTTCTTGGGATTTGAATGCTACGAGGCAAAAGTGTTAATGTTAATTATATGAATACAAGTTTTACATCATTCCTTGCCGAATTTATTGCCTACAATACACTTCTTATAGAACTCTTAGCATGATGTTGGAAAGATATGCTCCTTCTGGGTAGGATGGGTCAATAGGGTGATCACATGCTGCTCCCACTTGCCGGGGTACGGTCACCTTTTTGCCTGCCATTGCTGCTGCACCCTGTAGAATAACATGCAACTTAGAAACAATCAAAATCACTTTGCATATTGAAATGAATAATGCTACATTTTTTTTTTGTAGGGGTGTCCATTCGGTTTTCGGTTTGGATTTAGCCCAAATCCAATCCAATCCAATCCGAAATATAATTCGATTTTCAAATTTTCAATCCGATCCGATCCGAATTACTCTCCTAATCCAATCCAATCCAATTCGAATTAAAATTCGATTATTTGGATCCGATCCGAAAATCTGAATTAAATCTTTTATTTTTAGCATCTAATAGACTCATACAATAATGAAAATAAATACAAACACAATTATAAAAATCACATTTGTCCAAGCCTTAATATTAATACAAATCTTTAAAATAGACATGATTATATAAAATAAATTGTTCAATAGTAACTAATACTAGTACATCACTACACCTATAAGGAAACACCATTACAATAATAACATCAAGAACCAAATAGGCAAACATCAACTAGCAAGTAAACTTTCACCATGTTAGAGCCACTAACTTTCAACAGTAGGTAGCAGCAGCAAGTCAAGACAGCAAGCAGTCCATATTGGAGTCATATTCATACATGCTTAATTTTATAATTCGGTTTAGTTTGGATCCGATTAGGGTCAATCCGATCCGATCCGAAAATCCGATTTTTCAAAAAATCTCAATCCGATCCGATTCGATTTAAAGTTCAGATCCAATCCGAATTAATAATTTGGTTTGGATTGGATTGGATTTCGGTTTTAATCCGAATTATGGACACCCCTATTTTTTTGTATTGATAGTTCAGTTTGTGAGAGAAAATATTTTTTTTTGAAGGAGAAAATGTACTTTACATACTACCTCATGTTTTTTTAGTTGACACCTTTCTATTATTATGTTTGTCACAGCATGGGCTAAGGGGGGGATAGATGTCCCCTCCAATTTACCAAAAACAAATTAGGTCAAATACATTATTTTGTGATATATTGAAGTATTGAACCCTACAAGGTAAGGTGGAGCAGTGGTGAGTGTGGTAAGCTTTTATGCACGAGGTTTAGAGATCGAAACTTGGTGCATGCTTTACTTTACAATCAAGCTAGTCAAAGTGTATTTTGTGAATGATATAAAAATCAAATGGTATTAACTAAAAAAAGAAGTATAATACTTCTTTTGAATCTTTATAGTTGCAACACTTTTTTAAAATGGAAATGTTATAATAGTTGTAACACACTATAAAAAGAAGGTTTTTATGATGAAAATTGTATTATTACCTTTATATAAGGTTTCCTTTATATAAAGCACATGACCCACTTGATTTTACTCTTAACATGCTTTAACCCCACTTTAAGTGTATTATATCATGTGCGGTCCACTTTTCTTAAATATCGTGATAAAGTGTGTTACAAATATAAAGAAACGAAGGAAGTAAATGCAAACCCACTTGAAAAATATACTACCTCCGTTAACGGTTATTTGCAACATATACTATAAATGGATGCTAACTATTATGTGCAACAAATGGTTTTTTTTTTTTTTTTTAGGTAATCATTTCTCTCTATCTCTCTCCTCATCACATGCACCCAACTTTTTCTCCCTCCATTTTACTCTCACAAACAAACTTTGTCTAAGAGTCCGCAAACACCCCCTTATTGCAAATAATAGTTAACGGAGAAAGTACAAGTAAAAGTTATATGACTCACTATCAATCAAAACACAACCCAACTTTCATTGTCACTTATTGTATTTTAATTATTTATTTATACATTTGGTATAGTGCAAATAGTTTATTAAATTTCTTAAATATGCAACCCACTTTGTTGATCCACCACAACAAACTTCTGACCCAAAGAAGTTATCCTTTTCTTTTCATACAAGTAGACCAAAAAGAAAAACACAAGATAGCTAGTAAAACAGATAAATTCCTACCGGTGCATTCAGTAACCTAATACTACATACATAGATATATAAACTAAACTTCAGTAGACACATGACATATCATAAATTACCTAGAAAGAATTAATATTTGAATAGAATTGAGACGTCTCATATAAGAATTTGTGAAATGTACCACTGTATTAGTTCATATATAATCAAAATTACAGAGGTTGCATCTGTGCAAGGATTGGCGCTGTAATATTTTCTCTTTTGTTCATCTTTTGAAACAGCCTCTTTAATCTCTACCATCACAACTCATCAGCTTTTAAAATGGTATTAAGTTTGTTTTCCAACAATGTAAAAGAAGCAACTTTTAAAAGTATAAATTCCTCCAAATGCTTATTCTACTCTGTATCCCTATTGTGACAGTAGAACTGAGAAAATGTGCTGAAATGCTTTTAGAGGAAAGAGGTTAGTGGTTGTATGTGGTTGTTTGATACTTTGTTGAAATCCCACTTTGTTGATCCACCACAACAAAATGTCCACAAATCCTATATTATTCCCTGTATGTGGTTGTTTAAACATAAATACAGGGAAAATGGTGATTTGGAGAGACACAAAGCGAGACTTGTTGTGAATGGCAAGTCTCAACAGGTTGGTGTTGATTGTGATGAGACCTTTAGTCCTGTGGTTAAGCCGGCTACCATTCGAACCGTGTTAAGTATTGCTTTGGGTAGGGATTGGCCCATTCATCAGCTGGATGTTAAAAATGCGTTTCTTCATGGTGACCTCAAAGAAACAGTGTATATGCATCAACCACCGGGGTTTGTAAATCCGGAGGCTCCCACACATGTTTGCCGCCTTAACAAATCTCTCTATGGTCTAAAGCAGGCCCCTCGGGCTTGGTATCAACGATTTGCTAACTATCTTTTGCAGATTGGTTTTGTTTGCAGCAAAAGTGATAATTCCCTCTTTATTTTGCGACATGGTGCTAATGTTGCATATCTTTTGCTATATGTTGATGACATTGTTCTTACAACCTCTTCTAAACAACTCAAATGTGATATTATTGCTCTTCTTAAATCCGAATTCTCCATAACTGATCTGGGAAAGTTGAGTTATTTTTTGGGAGTTTCTGTAACCAGAACTAAGGACTATATGATCCTTTGTCAGAGTAAGTATGCAGAGGAAATTATTCACAGGGCAAACATGGACAATTGCAAGCCGGTTGTCACTCCAGTCGACACTAAGTCGAAACTTAGTGCTCATGATGGTGAGCCAATGAAGGATCCCTCTCTTTACAGGAGTCTTGCAGGTGCTCTACAGTACCTCACTTTTACCAGACCTGACATTGCTTATGCCGTACAACAGATCTGTCTGTTCATGCATGCTCCTAGGGAACCTCATTTTAACGCTCTTAAGCGTATCATCAGATATATCAAAGGCACTTTTGATCATGGCCTACATTTGTACCGTTCTGCACCTACGAGACTTACTTCATACACCGACGCAGATTGGGTGGGTTGCCCGGATACTCGGCGCTCCACTTCCGGGTATTGTGTTTATTTGGGTGATAATCTGGTCTCATGGTCCGCAAAACGACAGGCTACATTGTCCAAATCGAGTGCCGAAGCAGAATATAGAGGTGTCGCTAATGTTGTTTCTGAATTATGTTGGCTCCGGAATCTACTTCTTGAGCTACATTGTCCCATTCGATGGGCATCCTTGGTTTATTGTGATAATATCTCCGCCGTTTATCTATCTTCTAATCCGATACAACACCAATGACCAAGCACATTGAGATGGACATTCATTTTATACGGGATAAGGTGGCACTTGGTGAGATCAAGGTCTTACATGTTCCGTCTTCTTATCAGTATGCGGATATTTTCATAAAGGGGTTACCTCGCCAATTATTTTTAGATTTCAGAGACAGTCTCTGTATTCGACCTCCTCCCGCTTCGACTGCGGGGGTGTGTTAGATAATATTTATATTATCTTGTGAATATTCTTTAAATGATATATCATGTGTAATTTAGGTATTCTCATATTTAGGTTGTAAATCCTATATATATTCAATGAATGAAAAAGCCTCCACTAAGGAGAATTACACAATTCTACACTTACCTGAATAACACGCATGAACAACCCACTCTATGTCATAGCACCAGAACACGAGCAAGTCATTAAGATACCACCCTTTCTTGTCAATCTCATAGCTAAAGCATTTAGATTCCTGTACATTCCAGATGCATTGTGTAGAACCTGTAATATACAACTAACAATATAACCAAAGAGGATGCAGTAATTGACACAGTTTAAGATAAGATACATTCGTTTACCTACTTAAAGGGCAGAAATTCTAATAAGCACCATGACATCTGACAAATTTTGAAATGGGCTAAAGATGATACCATTCCTCACAATATACAGCGCATATGTCAATTGTTTTAGGTCCTCAACCTGACTTTCAACATAAGTCATAATGGAAAAGGAAAACTAATTTCAGATACTCAAAGCTCAGCAAATTAGTATCAATCAAATATCTTCTTGATTACAAGTGTTATTCTATAAAATAAATGGAGGTTTCACCATGCAAGTATTCTTCAGTACCATTGACGCAAATATGACAAAGGAGTTAAAACTGGATCCCAAGAATGTCCTGGGAAGGGGACCATTTTTGTCAGTTCTTCCTTAGCTTTATTAATTCTCTGCTCCACAATACTCTTGTTTAAATTTCTGTTGCGAAATCTTAAACTCTAGAAATTTCCAATTCCTAAGTGTTAAGTAGTTTTTATGTGACTCAATTTACCCCTGATTGTCATCTTCTCGCATCTTTATCCCCTTTTCTTGTAGTTTTTGTCTATTTTCCTAATCTCCTTCCTTATCTTGTTCTTTGGCAATAATCACATGATTTTGGGCATTTTATGCTAGTTCTACCTCTATCTTACTCCCATCTCTTATATGCCAACT